AAGGAAAGGATCCCCGACCAGTGGAGAACCTCCCGTGCAATCCTGCTTCATAAGAAGGGCGATAGAGAGGATCTTTGGAACTACCGTCAAATATGCCTGCTGAGCGTGCTTTACAGGCTCTCTACGAAGATTATTTTCGCTCGCATATCAAGGACACTGAATGAAGCCCAACCTGTAGAACAGGCTGGATCTCGCATGTATTCCGCTGCGTGGATCACATCCAGACGGTTTCGAGGACTATCGCGGTTTGCCAAGAGTACCGCTACCTCTCGTTCTAACCCCCGTCGACTATGATAAAGCGTTTGACAGTGTCGAGAGTGATGCCATACTTCGCTCGTTGACCAAAAGGTGGACCCATCTTACGTGAGGACATTGGCCGACTGTTACAAGAATTGCTCTACAACGGTACAGCTTTTCCAACGTCCCCTTAACATATTAATTGGGGGTTTGACAAGGCGACACCATGTCGCCAAAGCTGTTTACCGACGCCCTGCAGTAGGTAATGAAACTACTGGATTGGAACGAGACGAGTTGATGGGAGTTCCTCTCAAACCCATGTTCTGCGGACGACATTGTCTCTTCTCAAGGAATATCACTGAAGCGTAGGCGATGTTGGAAGATCTAAACGAAGTGGGGAAGAGGATAGGACTGCGCATTAATCGGAAGAAGACTAAGTTCATAAGAAACGCTTTTTGGGAGAATCACGAAATGGGATTAGAATGCTCTCTAACTGCGGAAACGCCTTCTTACGTATAACTCGGAGTTCGATGAACATGGAAAACGATCTAAAAGAAGAACGTGAAGGGAGGCGAAGAGCAGCTTCGGCCGCCTTCTGTCCCCTAAAGGGAGCCACAGACCAGCTAATGGATTCAGAGCTCCGAGCCCAACTATCTGATTCAAACGTTCTCCCTGCGCTGTAGCAGAAACGTGGCCTGACACTGTGGCGATGTTGAAGGTACTCCCATCAACCTACAGAGCACTAGAACAACGTCTTCTGGAGTATAACCGACGCACTCAACATCTCGTCAGACTGTTTAGATATGAGATCAATGTCTCGTCTTCGCGATCCGGCGGAATACATCTCTGAGGCAAAACATCGATGGGCCAGTCAAATGAGAAGGACAGACGACTGGACACTAAGAATTCTGGAATGGATTGCTCACAAGGCAAAACGTCCTCGAGGGAGGCCACCGACCAGATGAGCTGACGTGTTCGTTGCACGGATGGACCAGCTGA